ATATTTTATTTTTTACAAATGTAATATGACAAATTCTACGACATTTCTACACATGATTTAGCAATTTTTCTGTGAACTGAAAACAGGATATTGAAATCAAACATAATGGTACTTTAATTCTGTGTCAAGATTATTACTTTTGCTGGTTTCTTTTAACAGTTACGATCTCATAAATCTTAATTAGTCTCAATACCTCTGTTATTCATTACAAGAAGATGTCTGATGAGACAGATAAACCTTCTTCATGAGAATCAAACATATTACAAATCCACTTAATATTTTATTTTTTACAAATTTAATATGACAAACTCTACAACATTTGTACATGCGATTTAGCAATTTTTCTATGAATTAAAAGCACGACATCGAAATCGAAAAAGTCATTACAGAAATAATTGTGAAATACTACGCTGACAAGTGAACGATTCTCACACGTGGAAGAATTGTTTGTTTTCTGTCACATATATGCTACGAGCGTCCACTTAATAAATGTGCCACGAACTCGAAGGTCTAAAAATACTAAAGCTCCAGGTTGGTCCGAGCGAGCCAGAGCGCAACGATGCACGACTTACGACGTCTCGCGTCGCGATGGAACCCACGCGGTTTTCTTGGGGGAAACCTTTGCAAAATGCATCGTCGAGGAGGCAGCGAGGACCTTGTAGCATTTGTTCCGCGATGGCCAGTGAGTTGATAAATAAGGAGCGTAAGTAGACGGTGGCACGAAGCTACGCGGAGATATCGAGTTTCTTGCAAAACGGGCGCCGGTGGTAGGCGAGTTTATTGGATAAAAATAAGTGCAGAGGACGTCCGTGAAAATAGACGGGTTGTCGCTATTAAACCGGCGACTGTTCTTTCGATGCCCGCGCTAGGATCGCGAGATGAAATTCATTGCTAATCTGTTCTTTCATTATAATGGATCGGAAATAAATAGCGAGGAAAGAAAAAAAAAAAAGAAATATTCCTGAAAGAAAAAAACAAGAATAAGATTTCCGATGGAAATAAACTCGATCTTGGAGCAAATAACTCTCAAGAAAATAATTTAAGGATATTTTTTTCCTGGTAAAACGAAATCATCTACATCCCTCTAAAAAAAGAATTTTTGAGAAACAAGTATACTTCCAAAATATTTTTCTACTTCGTATGCGTACACCAAAAATAATGGCAAATATTTAGATAAATTGAAAAACTAGTATACATAAGTATTTGAATATTACTATAATGATAATTATATTCCTGTGGAAATGAACTTTGCCAAGTCGTGAAATCAACTTAAGTCGTCAAGTTCTCTTTTCAAGTATATTGTGGATTTTTTAATAAATTGAACTAGACCTATTATAGTATGGTCAACGAAATAGTGAAATGTCAGCAAAAGTTGTAGTCAAGTTTCGTTTATAACTTGATTATTTGAATCTATGGGAAGGAAATTGGTATCGTCTAAGGACATGTTTCTCTCCTATCTTCATCGTAACTACTACTCATGGACAGAAATAAGATGGAATATGTCTCTCTCTCGGGAAACGTACCCCTGCACTTCGGTTATAGGGATTGTCTCTCCATAGTACGTGACCTCAGCTAATTGTAAGTCTGTGTCAATATAAGGAATATGATAATAATGTAATGATTAGACTGCGGATTTTATTCATGTCAGAACAATTACATCTGCAGAAAGTATAAAAACTGTAGTTAGTATCCAAGAATGTACCAAAAACCCAAAAGTGAAGTGCATATTATGATATTTAAAGCATAAAATACATTCATTGTCCATTTTCACATTAGGTCCACATTGAACACATATATGTTTTATTTTGCATAAAAGTCCACACTCTAGTAATGATTATAAGAAATTACTTGAACGCTCAGGTTTAATCGACGTACTAGAGTATGGGGACATNGTTTCTTTAAGATTTTTACATAATTTCAATGTGAATATTATTAGAAATTTCTTAATAAAAGAAATTATATTTAATCAAAGAATGAATTTTAAATATTTTACTATTCACGTATGTTATCTATTTATGTTTTTAATGTTTTTGAATAGTTGATATGTTAAATATATGATGTTGGTATTACTCGATTTTTACAATGTATAAGAATAGGAGACCCCCACACCGCTTACCCTTCTAAAACCCTAACAAACGTCCTTAAATGTGCAGCTAAATATGAGAAATTTTTCGATATTGATATTTTTTTACCGTTTAACTTGGGACTTTAATTAATCTATCCGAGCATACTTCAAGCTTCACTCGCAGGATCTGCAAGAAAGGTTCGAAAGATCTTTAGTTTTCGACCTCGTTCGTAAGATTTTTCTGCGAACTTGTATAAACTTTCGAGTTCCTTAATTGGACAAGTTCGAAACGGTTCCTTAATATTTCTCCCGTAATCGTCTCGGCAACGCTTCCGCTTTTATTTTTACACCCGTCACGTGCATAGTTACAAAATAAAACTGCATACTGTTTATGGAGGTTCTATCAAGCTCAGCTTTCTGGTAGATGAAAAACGAACCTCTGTTAGCCGAACAATTATTTTAATCAACGCGATCCGGTGGCAAGTAGGCAGGTATAAAAGGTACATACATAAACGTCGGGAGCGTGAGAGAGTTATTGTTCGCAGGACAGAGAAATATTAAAGTCGATGCCACAACAGAATTTCAATTAACAGTACGCCCATTGTGTGGGCCGGTTCATTGTGCTCGTTGCATTATCGGTCTGATCTATATTTTGCTAGGCCATTTTGCTCCCATTTCTCGACGATATTTTGTAGTGGAAGCCCGATTGATCAGGATCTTATTAACTGTGATCCCAATTATCGGGAAAAAGCTTGGCTCCAGCCTCGTAATTTTTGTTTGCAATTTCTATAATTTCTGCAGCCAGCGTTAAACCAAAGATTTGTCTTATTATCCTTTATAAGAGAATTAGTATTTAGGTGAAGGTTACGAAGGCTGAGAATAAAATTGTAATTTAAGCTACATTACCTAAATAAAGGAATTGTTCGTGAGGGAAAGAAGTTAATAACGAGATGAACGAAATTAAAAATAGACGTTCTATAAGAAGGAAAATAGGAGAAGCGTAAAAAAAAAGAAAGAATGAACGTTATGAGAATTAAAAACACGATGGAAGCGAGGTAATAATAACGGCAAGAAGATATTCAAACTAGAAAGTGGACGGAAAATTCTAAGGGAACGGAAATGTGAAAATATAACAGAGAAACGTAAGTACGTATTGCCAATAAACGTTGAATATGGAAAAACGAGGTGACATAAAGAGGGCAAAAGTCATAGTAAAAATAGCACTAATGAATTTGATGAAGAATATCACTGCAGTTTTTAATTACAACAGCCAAATCGATTGATGAAGATAATAAATCAGAGCTAGTGAAAAAATTAAAGAATAGAAAGACGCCTACGGATCTGTTTATTGTTCAGAACAGTTAGCGATGTTGGAGGAACACGGCGTGGAAACTCTCGACCCGGAAAAGCAATAAATTTCCCGGCACGTTCCTTCGGTCGGCGTTTTCGTCCGGGCTGCAATTTCGCGTGGTAAAATTATAATAATGCGCGCACACCCCGCCGACGTGCTACGTGCACGCGCATGTACGTAGGTTACTTAAACCTGTGTGAACGCGGCACGGCGCGCAGCGTCTGAACAAAGTTTCTAAGTGGTCGAATGCCGCGAGATGAGAGGCTATAAAACAACGGGATATGATTTCGGGTATAATAAGCGACCGTGGCTGTGTTTGGAAACTGCTACACTGGCTGCGTTTGTACAAGAGGCATTGTCGTATCCGAAGAAGATGTTCTCCGGCCTATTCGTGCCTCGAGCACAATTCAGAAGGCTTCATATTCATTATAATGTCGTGCTTTTCATTTCGGATTTTCTCACGTCGATTTCCACATTTCCTCGAATCTTCATTATTCGTACTGAATAGTAATCACGACATTGTTTATACAGTTTCATATTACCAAACATTAAGGAAATGAAAACGTGATATTATCAAAGAATAGAGATTATAATAAACTTTTTTTTATATATTTTATGCATGATCTATTC